TTTAATAACTGATCTGCTCACTAGACTAAGCTGAACAGGAAAAGTCCAATCCAAACTGAAAGGTTAACCTCTGCGGAAGGCATGAGCTTGTTATTATTTTAATAACCTTAATGATGCCACAGTTCACCGCACACCTCTGAATCATTTTACCTCTCTTAATGCCAAATTAAATTTGTACTTTAGCCAGAATCCTGTAGAACCCATTTACATGGTACCAGTATTGTCACTATTGGTTTCTGTATGTCAACAAATACCCACTTTTCAAAATAACTATACTACCTTGAAGTTCGAATTGTAAATCTGGGGTACCAGAATATAAAAATATCTTACTTGGATTTATCAAATTCTTCAATGTAACTGGTTGTTGATAACAAGGGGGTATTTAGTTAGTATCTGCATTTTGCATTGTTTCAGGTCTCCTTTTAAAGTCCATACTCTCCAGTCTTGGCTTTAGATAAGTTCTCTCTTGATAAGACAAAGATCCTGCTACCCTGAACCAATGTGTAATTTTTACTTTATTTCATTAAAGTACAATGTGCCTGCAATTCAAAATATGCCCCCGAAAAGAACCGAGTAAAATAAAAGTGTATCATCCAGCAAGTTTACAATGAAAATTACACACCCTTGTGTTTTCAGGTATTGATTGGTTCTTGAAGTTGGGGGGTTTGGAAGGTTTTGTTAATTTTAGCAGTGTTCGCAAACATTTTAGTTTTATTAAGTCCATTTATTTCAAAACCATAGTGTAGGTAGTTACGGTAACTTTTAATAAGTATTTGCTTGTAATGATACGAAGTTCTAATTATGGAATGTTCAATAAAGAAATTCCTTCATGGTTTCAAGGGGGAAAAAAAAAACCCATTATGTTTTAGTTGTGCCACTTCATAGTACTGAAATAAAATGCTTCCAAATTTAAATGTTTTTTGTATTTAAAGATGTAATATTATTATCCCAGTTAACAATCTGCTTTATATAGTAAATCTCCTTTATTTTCTGGAAGCTAAATTACTTTGGTAAGATCAGTCAATCTTCACAACCATGCCAGTAGAAATAATCTATAAATTGGGGCATTTACTCTACTGAAGTCTGTTACACCTTTCAAATTAAGTGTTCAATGGTGTTTAATATTTTTAAAAATAGATAAAAACATTATTTCTCCAAGTATCTCCACTTTATAAAAATAAAAGAAACCCACATTTGCCTGTGTACATTTCTGTATGCTCACTCATATTCTTAAAAGCAAAACAAAACCAAACCCGATATAGCTGACTGCTGCTGGGCAAGACTTATGAGTGCTTCATAGAGAAACCGTTTTAGTTTGAGGATTTTTAATAAGTGCCTGCCACTTCAGCAGGCAATTATGTAATTACATGTTCATAGTTTAATTTAGAAGTGAAGAGATTAAGTGAAAGTAGTAGCAGCAGAGGGCAGTTTATTTTTATGAAGATACCAGCAGATGTCAGCAAAAACTAAGGCAGTGTCACATGAATTCTGCACAAGAATGTTAAGCTATTTCTAGCTGGGTAACCATAACGTAAGTAGGAAATTTCTAATTACCAAAGTTCCATCCAGGTAAGACATTTCAGTCTTCTACGTTGTAATTCAACTGAGAATCACCTTTTTGGAGGTGGGAGGGGTGTGTGAGGCCACAGTGGGATCTGACTTTTTAGGACAACATCTTTTTCAAGGACTGAATCATTTTGGTTTTGTTTAAAACCAACCAACCAACCAATCATTCACAACACTATATAACAAGCCAAACTACACTTGAGACAGCTACTTTCAATAAAAAAATCAAATGGTTTACAGAATATTTCATATTACACTAACACAAGTTCAGGGGTTCTGAACACAGAAGTATTCGTGAATACATGAATGCAGTCATTTTTTCCTGGGAAGATAATTCATAGCTTTCATCAGCTTCTAACAGGAGTCTTTGACTCCCCAAAAGTAAAGAACCATGCTAAAACTTACTAAAATTATGTTTTTTATTAATAAATCACTACATGTGTATATATGGATATTTCAAAATTGATTTGCTAAAAATTATTTGCTTGAAACCATGCCAGGAAAGCAATATCAGAAAGACTGTCAGGTTGTAGAATAGCTTGTTACATAGAACCAGACTTAATATTTTCAAAATGTAAGAATCCTATGTATGATATTCCAAGGTAAATAGCTATTTTCATATATTTGTAAAAAATAGAAAAAGATCACACAGGATGCCATTTATTTTATTCATGCATTTTGCTTTATGGTTTGTGATTTCATCTTAAATATAAACTTCTCCACTAGGACCTACACACAGCAGAAATTGTTTACATAACTTTTATTTTTGCTTTTTAGATTACTAGAATTCTAAAATGATTTAGCCACCTGGAATATTTATGCAAAATGTAAAGAGGATCTAGATGATTTCACTGTATTCCCTACTTCTGTAATTTTTATATTAAAAAACACAAAGGACTTGTTATGTAATTTTTCCAAAACACAGCATTTATTACAGGTTACTCTAAATCAGATATACCTTTCTCTGTAAACATTTTTTATGCTCATTTAGAGTCTGTCCCCTAAATGGGCATGATGAATAATATTAGCAAAATTGGTCAAGAAGTTTTCCCTTGAAAAACTTATTACCATCTTTGAAAAATAACACATCTATTCTAAGAAATGCTGAAATACAGCAATTTGAATTTTACTCATTTTTCCACCAAAAAGATATTTCTATTTTAAATGCAGTTACCTGAGATTTTAACTTGTCCCTATCAAAAGCCTAATAAGCAATGGACTAACTTACATTTAAAAACAAAAAAGAAAAATGACAGTAATAATGTAACTAAGATCTAATTTATGACACTGGATGTTCAGATAAATTTGGAGGGTTTATATCCTCAACAAAATATTTCCTTAATTCGGAAAAAATAAACAATCCGGCATCTGACTTAAGTAAATAAAACTAAAATATTTTGCCAGTGCTCAGGTGAAACATACAGATCTAGGAATTGATAAACTAACTTTACTTCTGATAACTAGGGCAGTGAACAATTAAAACTTAAAAGTGACATTTAATTGCAAGGTTGCAAGTACCATTCCAAAGTAAAACCAAGTAAAAAGATAGCAAAATTAAAAAAAACTAGCCACATAAATTTAGTTTTAATGGCTACAAAATATTTCAAATAGCTAAAACCTCATTTGATTAAACTGAAGTATTGTATTTATGGAAAACAAAAACCTAATTTAGCAGCGATGTCCTAGGTGACAAAACCTTTTAGACAAAATGACAGATAGCTATAAAAAAGAAAGTACAGAGAGAAGATACCATTCCCCCATCCTCCAAACAGCACCCATGCAAATTCCAACATCAACAGTCAATCAATTCCCAAAATATTTATTTATAGTCTATGTCTTAACCAGTGTTTCTCCATCTTTTTTTCATTATCATTCCCTTAAGGATAAGTCTTTTAGTCTTAATCAACCACCCCCCAAAGTGTTAATACCACAGGTACAGTATCTGTTTATGTATTGTATGTATACTTGTGCTTTATGCACAAGAAGATTTTTTTTGTCCGCCAAAACAAATTTTCACGAAGAATTCATGGTATAAACAATGAAAGGTTTACAGTATTGAAACATTTTTTTATTTGAAGAATAAATGGGGAGAAGAGAAATATATTTTAGCACTTAGATATGTAGATTATTTCCAGAATAGTTTAACACTTGTCAGCTGTATTAAAATCAGTTTTCCTTGAAGTAGGCATTGTTCCCAGCTACAGGCAGTCCTCGTTTTGCCACAATAATGTGGGACCACAAAGATGGCCATGCAAAGCAATCTTAATAATCAATGGGGAAAAATGTGATTGTTCCATGACCTTTAAAAATCTGTCAAAATATTAAAAACTAGCAGTTATAAATGTAGAAGAAAATGCAAAAACGTTTAAAAATACTTAGTATGTTGTAATTTAAAATGTTAGAAACATTGAGAATTAAACTGTTTCATTGTAAAAAACTAAGAGTAGTCTGAATAGTGCTTGTCTTTTTTTGGTATAATTATGATACTGAGTAAAAATCTTTTCTATATGGTGGCAAATTATCATATTCAAATTTAGATCAGCTTCTACCATTTTATTTGTACTTTCAATGTTGTAAAATATTTCTGCATCCACATTATATATCCTTTAATGTGAATTTTTTTTAACCACCACTTCCTCTGGGACATGTTTATCTTTTTCATCACAGCCACTTTCCTCATCTTTGTTGGTAAGTTTGCCTTCACTAAGTTCCTCTGGATGTATATCCAAAGTCTCTAGAACAGCAGCAGTACAAACATTCCCATGATCAGTGATTTCTTGTGCAACTCTGTTAATGTTCCATTCAAATTTCACTTCCAGCATTATTATTTTTCATGTCTTTGCTCTATTTTCATTTTTGTTGGCTCTTTCAATTGTCCACTTTTGTAAAATGTCAAGTGGGTGACAAGGAGACCACACAAACTTGCTATGAGTGAATCAAATAGCAGATGCACAGGAACCAACCACTGGCAGAATTTGAAAGTAATAACATGATTGGTCACTGATCATGAAGCACATCTGTTACAGAGTGATCTGTGGACTGAAGAGCTAGCAGAGAAATTTGTACTTTATGCAGTTACTCACAGTTAATATACTATGGTAAGTGAAATTTGAACCATGCTGTTAGGAGACTGGCATTATTTAATTAAGTCATGGTCACTGAAATTTTTGCCTGTGGAAACCATGCAAATCAAGGACTGCCTATTACCTTAATTATTTACATAGCCCCGAATGGCTTAATGCTGACTTCTGAGAAATAGCCCATCTTAACTGCCCACCAAATAATGAATTTTAAAGCACTCAAAATGCAAAATAGTGCATACTGAGTGGATATTGGGGTGGTTTTCAAATTGTTGTCATTTGGCAATCAAGCTTAAAATGTATTTTAAATGACAGAATTTTAAAAATAGAGAGAGGACCTTTAAAGACCCCATGGTTTGACACTACAAATTATCCAGCATGTTTATTATGAATTATTTCTCCTCCTTCAATTTCGATTTGCTCATACAGCCACTTGCGGTCACAGCGGCACTCAGCTCCACATTTGGTAGAACCGCAGGCAGGACAAGCATAGAAACATCCTAAGCAGTCTTCATCAAGGCAGTCACAGAGATCCATCCCACTGAAAATCAGGAGACCCTGGCTATCATAGACCTTACTCTTCGCTGGTATCACTTGTCTGTGAAATAAAACACAATGAATTACATCTCATAAATATATTAACTTGAAAATTATGGTAATGAAAAAAATTTACAGAGATAAAATATTTTGAATTACGTCTTGCCAAAGTGGTACACAAATTATCAGGGTCAGGGCTTACTCTACAATCAGTAGTAAATGAACTCCATGTGAGAAGAGGAGACCTAAATCTAGAGTGTTGAGAAGAATCCAAAAAGCCTGAATATGCCTCTTGAAGTCCATTTAAAGGTCATTTCAGAAAGAGAATGGACAAAAATTTTGTCCAAAAAATAAGTACATTTCTGTTACAATGATTTCCCTTTTACCTTAAACAAACAAACAAAAAAGAAGGGCTAGCTAATAGTGGCTAATTTATATGGCTACCAATCTCTTCACTGTTTCATTAACATAGTTTTATCTTTATTATAATATACTACTCTACAGGTTTTGATACTGCAATTAAATCTTTTTCTTATTCTTTCACGGACTCTAATAAATTGAGTCTCAAAATATTTAAATGACTCAATGGTAAACTTTAACAGATAAAATAAATGGCATATGTAGAAATGTTGATTGTATTTAATACTTAAAAATAATTCCAACTGATTATACTATATAATAACATGTTTTAAAGAGTTATATTCTAAACAATTTAGTTCTTCCATTCATTCTGTTGAGTGTACCAGAACTGCATTTTTATTTCAGATGTGTAAAAATTAAAAAGCAACCTTCCATTCTCATAAGATTTAATTACCTTTCAACTGCCACCCATAGAGCAGAGATATACCAATTACAGGCATACTTGGAGATATTTCCAGTTCAGTTACAGACTGCAATAAGGCAAATATCGCAATAAATCAAGTCACAAGTTTTTTGATTTCCCATTGCATATAAATGTTATGTTATACTGTAGTCTATTGAGCATGCAATAGCCTTATATCTAAAAAAAGAATGTACATACGTTAAAATACTCTATTGCTAAAAGATGCTAACAATCTGAGCCTTCAGCAAGCTGTGATCTTTTGCCTGGTGGAAGGCCTTGCCTTGACGTTGACGGCTGCTGACTGATCAACAATGCTGTTTGACAGCATTTTACCCACAGTAGAATTTCTTTCAAAATTGAAGGCAATCCTGTCAAATCCTGTCACTGCTCTACCAACTAAGCTTATGGATATTCTAAATCCTTCATTGTCATTTCAACAATGTTCACAGTATCCTCACCAGGAGTAGATTTCATCTCAAGAAACTACTTTCTTGGTTTATCTCCAAGAAGCAACTCCTCATCCATTAAAGTTTTATCACAAGATTGTCGCAATTCAATCACATTGTCAGACTCCACTTCTAATTCCAGTTTTCTTGCTATTTCCACCACATCTGCAGTTACTTCCTCCACTGAAGTCTTGAACCCCTCAAAGTCATCCATGAGGATTGGAATCAACTTCTTCGAAATTCCTTTTGATATTGACCTCCTCCCATGAATCACATATGTTCTTAATGGCATCTAGAATGATGAATCCTTCCCAGAAGATTTTCAATTTACTTTACCCAGATCCATCAGAGGAATTGCTACTGTGGCAGCTATAGCCTCGTAAGATGTATTTCCTAAATAATAAGACCTGAAAGTGAAAATTACTCCTGGACCCAGAATATAGACTGGATATTATGTTAGCAGGCATAAAAAAACATTTATCTCCTTGTACATTTCATCAGAGTTCTTAGGTGACCAGCTATATTGTCAACAAGCAGTAATACTTTGAAAGGAATCTTTTTCTGAGCAGTAGGTCTCAACAGTGGGCTTAAAATATTCAGTGAACCATGTTGTACACAGATGTGCTGTCATTCAGGCTTTGTTGTGCCATTTACAGAGCACAGGCAGAGTAGATTTAGCATAATTCTTAAGAGACCTAGGATTTTCAGAATGATAAAGGGGCACTAACTTTACATCACCAGCTGCATTAATACCTACGAGGATAATCAGCTTCTCCTTTGAAGCCAGGCACTGACTTCTTCTCTCTAGCTATGAAAGTCCTAGATGACATTTTCTTCCAGTAGAAGGCTGTTAGTCTACAATGAAAATCTATTTAGTGTAGACACCTTCTTCATCAATTATCTTTAGCTAAATTTTCTGGGTAACTTGCCGCTTCACCTTACACTTTTATGTTATAGAGACGGCTTCTTTCCTTAAACTTCATGAACCACTTCTTCTAGCTTAACTTTTTTCCTGCAGTTTCCTCATCTCAGCCTTGACAGAATTTAAGAGAGTTAGGGCCTTGCTCTAGATTAGTCTTTGGCTTAAATGAATGTTGTCACTGGTTTGATCTTCTATCCAGACCATTTAAACTTTTTCCATCTCAGCAATAAGGCTGTTTTGCTTTCTTATCATTTACGTGTTCACTGGAATAGCACTTCTCATTTCCTTCAAGAATGTTTCCTTTGCATTTACTGCTTGGCTAACTGGTGTAAGAAGCCTACCCCTTTCGAGTCTATCTCAGCTTTTGACATGCCTTCCTCCCTAAGCTTACTCATTTCTAGCTTTTGATTTAAAGTGAGAGACATGCAACTCTTCCTTTTACTTCACCACTCAGAGGCCATTGTGGGGTTATTAATTGGCCTAATTTCAATACTGTTGTATCTTAGGGAATAGGAAGGCTGGAGGAAAGGGTGAGAGACTAGACAACAGTTGGTTGGTGGAGCAGTCAGAAAACATATAACATTTATCAATTAAGTTTGCCATCTTACACTTGTGTGGTTGACGGTGCCCAAAACTATCAGTAATAACATCAAATATATTGATCAAAGATTGCCACAACAAATATAATGATGAAAAATTTGGAAAAATTGCAAGAATACCAAAATGTGACACAGAGATACAAAGTGAGCATATGCTGTTGGAAAAATGGCACCAATAGACTTGCTCAACCCAGGGTTGCCACAAACCTTCAATTTGTAAAAATTTATCTATAAAGCACAATGAAGTCAAGTGAATGAAGATAAAACAGGTATGCCTGTATATAATATCAATGTTTTTCCAAAAAGTGAATCAATTCTAAGACACACACACAATTCTAAGATGTTTCAATTATTTTAACTCTCATGCCAAAAGTATCTTGTTCGCTTCACTGCTACCTTCTTGGAAACAAATTTTTAGAATTAAAAGGGATGTCTTAATTGTATATGAATAAAAACCAAGGCCCTCGGAGGTTTTTAATAATTCCACACTATCCAATCTAAAATATCTATGGAGTAAATTCAAAATTTAAGAGAAAAATAAGGGGACAATACAGACGTGAAACGGCAAGTTAACATATGTCTTAAGTAACACATAGCTTACCTGTCTGAACCAGTGGGTGCATTTTTTGTAAGCCTTCTTTTTTCTCTTTTACCAGTTTCTGGAGCAAATTCAGTTTGCTTTCCTGGGTTTGTAAATTGTAATGACCTCAAAGCTTTAGCAGTTCTTCCCTGAATAAAGGTAAACAAATGATCAACTCAAATTTTGACATCACACGATAAGTAAATCTTACACTTAATGTTAATCCAGATCATTCCTTAAACTGGAAGATAGTCTGGAATACATTAAGAAAAAAAGGTTTTAGAGTCCAAGTGCAAGAAAATTTGCAAGGCCCTGAACCACATTCAAAGCTTATTGGTTCATTTATTAATAACATTTCCATTATTTGATTTTAATCTCTGGCGGAGCAGGAGCATGAGCAGAGGAGGACAGGCATGGTGAAAACTGTAATTGCTGCCACTATGAGAAAGGAGGCAGAAAACTGCTGTATAACCCAACTGCACATAACAATCCTGGGTCCTTAAGAAAGGGTTCTATTATTATATTTTATGTATTTTTAAAAGCAAAGAAGTAATATAGTTTTCAGTTCTGAAACAGTATTATAATCTTTTTAAAAAGCATTGGCAAAACAAAATTTTGGTGCTTAAGATTTTAAGTTTTTTATTTTGGGGAGGGAACTAAAGAACACAAGAGCAATTCCACAAGAGCAATGGTTAGATCAGGTGAAGATACCTAGAGTGGCAGTACCAGCAAGTATTCTAATATAAACTGCAGAAAACACTGGGTCCTGGAGATGTGCCTCTGTGAGGACAACAAAAGGAAAATACTATATATAACTTAAAATTTTAATTATCTTTTAATTTGGTTTATTAATAAGGAGAAAATTGAGAAAGATATTCCAGGAGCAAGAATAACGAAATGATAAAAATTTCAAGAAGTGCTCCCTTGACATACTTGACCTTGTTCTACACCGAAGATTGCTTTATGAAATCTTAAATTGTTCTGATATGGTTAAATAATCTGCATGTAGGCAGGTGAATAAGGGAGAGAAGTATAAAATATTTAATATTTTAAATGTAAAAATGTATGCTTTTTGACCACAGGGAGTTCTAAAATTATCATGGTCCTTAGCAAGTAAGAATTCAGAGCTAGAAGCAAAGAAAACTCACAAGCATTGAAAAAACTCAAACAAGAATGGAATAGTGTTGAAGGAGAAAGAAAGACTGAAATAAAAAACAATTATAGGAAGTCACTTCTCTGATGCTCCTTTTAAAGCAGTTATTTCCATGTCCTTCATAAAAAGGGGAATTCATACTGCTATAAAGACCCTTGCTGGCTAGCATGTTCCACTGATTAGTTTGGTATCAGAAACTAAATCTTGGCTTTGCCAGAATGTTCTAAAAGCCACTCCTAATTTCTTAGCACGAAAAGTTGCAGGTTGGAGTCTCAGGTATAGTGTATCATTCCTTTCCCAGGTCTGCATTATCACCCAGTCTTGACCTTGGGTATATGGAAAAATTCAGAAACACCATTTACTTTTACCTCCCCAGCTTTAAATTCACTATCTGCTAATAAATAAAGTAATAATGTAAATATGACTTCTTTTATAGTTCAATAAAATCTCACATTGTAGAGAAGTCACATAGTAGGAAAAAATGACTATTATACATACATCTGATTCAGGTTTTCTTCTCTGTCGGTCCTCAGTATCAACATCCACACTCCCATTGATTATCTGTGTACATTTTGGACAAAGCTTCCAACCAGGTACAAGCTGTCTTCCAAATTTTGCACTCAGAAAAGTGGCATCATCTAAGTCAATTACATGCAAATTTTTTTTGGCTAGTTTTTTGTGTATATTAAATGGGTCACAACATGACTTTTGCAAATCCTCAAATCTGTCAATGTAAATTTTTACATGATGAAAGCAAATTGTATTGTTCCCAGACAGTGTCATTCCAGTTCTGAGTTGAAGTAAGAGCATATCATTTGATGACAATTCTTGCAAAGTCTTGAAACCTGTGTGACGAGTATAGTAGGTTTTATGACACTCATTTGTGGTACGAAGCTGGACTCCAACCGAACATGGATCCATCATTCTTGATTCCATCAAATTTTCCCACTTATTTTGTTTAGAGATCTCTCTTTAATAGGTCATGTGCTGATCACCCTAACGAAAACATTAAAGAGAATCAGGTTTGTGCTGCAAATTTTTTATCTGGGAAACTGAAAAAGCATTTGATAAAATTCAACACCCATTTAAAAGCAAGTGAGGAATAGAAAGGTATTTACCAAAAGCCTACAATAACCATTATATTTAATCAAACATTAGACATATTCCCCGTAAAGTCAGAACTACACAAGAATACCCGCTATCACAGATTCTACTTATGACCACATACGGATTAAAAAGGCAGAAACAAGAAATATTATCCAAAGATGATATAAGTATCTACATGAGAAATACAAGAGATTCAACAAACTATTAGAACTAGTAAGAGAATTCAGCAGGAATGCTGGAAACCAAAAACACTATAAGATCTTAAAAAATATACAAATCTTACAAAAAATATGCAAGAGTTTCCCTAAATAAATATAGGTATTTTATCATGGACAGCCTGACTACAGTAAATATGTCAATTCTCCAGGAATTCATCTATAAATCCAATGCTATTCCAAACAAAATTCCATCAGATATTCTACCCTCACGCCTTGGGAATTTAGCAAGCAGGTCTATATGAAAGAGTAAAGATCCCAGAAAGCCAAGATAATCTTGAAGGAAAATAAAGTTAGATATTAATTTACTATGAAGTTATGATAATTAGAATAGTGTGGTACTGGTATAGATTAGACCAATAGATTCATGAATAGATGAGGGCTTGGTGTATGACACGTGGTACTATAATCAATGGGTATGTTACATTAATCTAGAAAGAATTTTAACCAGCTAACATATGGAAGGAGAATAAGATCTCTTTTACACAAACAAAAATCAATTACAGATGGATTAAAGAATTAAATATGAAAAGAAAAACTGTAAAAATGTGTATGAGAAAATAAAGATGATTTTGTGATATGGGAGTAGGAAAGTATTTTTCAAAGAAAGCACATATCCAAGAAAAGGACTGACACATTTGATTATGTCAAAATTACACACATTTCTGTGCAACAAAAGGAGAAAACACACCTGAAAGTATTGTCAGATTATCCCAAATATTCAAACAACTTGTGACTTCAATTAGAAAATAAAGAACCCATTGGAAAACTAAACAAATAGGCAATTCACAGAGAAAGAGAACAAAGCCAACAAATGCACACGAAGTGTTTACTTCATAGTTCTTAGAAAAATGTAAATTAAATACCATTTCTCAAACATTTGCTTGAAAAAGATTTAAAACTCTAATATCCTACTGCTGGCTAAGATGTGATCAACG